GTGTTGGGAGCCCACTGGGTCTGTAATAGCTCCTGTTTATTGAGCACATACTACATGCCAGGCACTCTTCCAATGGCCTCATTGATTACCTCCATTTAACAGATGAGTAAACCAAGGCCCAGAGATGTCAAGTGCCCTGTCTAAGGCTGCACAGTTAGTAAGTTGCAGAGCCAGAGCTCGAACCCACCACTCTTTGTGACCAACCCATATTGCCTCTCACACTGCGGCACACATTTCTTCATGTTCAGGGAAGATTTCAGACACCTGAAGGAAGCGTGGTCAAACACTAGCATAGCTGAAGTCTGGTGGTGTGTTCTTGGGTGTTCCTTCTTCTATTCTTGGTAATTTTCCATAAGAATATTTACAAGGGCCGGCTCTGGCCTGAGGCCTCTGCTGGCCCCGGGCCCCTTGCCTGGCCATGATCCATATCACACAGGTATGCCGGCTGCCAGGGTGGCAGAGCAACAACCCACTCACTCCCCAGCACTCACAAGATGGGTCCTGGCACATTCTCCTGCTGCAGCTAAGAGTGGCAGAGGAGGCCTGGGCCCTGGAGGGAACGGATTCACCAACACCTTGACTGTTCTCCTCGAGACAGCGGGGACAGGCGGCCTGTCGGGGAGGAGGCTGCCTGAGGCCTTCCCAGTCTTTCTGAAGAAGGGACTTAAAGCCATGGAATTAGCAGAGCCCAGTCTGCGGGAGCTGATGTGTTGCTGCCCACATCCACCCAGTCTGGCCAGAGAGGCGCTGGGTGTCCACTGGCCCGTGTGCCCTGGTTGTGGCAGCCGATGGTGCCTGCTGGGTTCCTGGAAATGTGGGCAATGCTCCTGGACCCCACGCCCTATGCCCCAGAGGGGCCAGCAAAGGCGTGATCTCACCTCTTCCCCACTCCCACTTAAGAGATAGGGAAACGAAGTTTGGTTGAGGGCGAGTCCTGCATGGGGGAGTTGAAGCAGGGCCGGGCAGCTCCGTTGTGCCAGGCAGCCTCTGTGGGCCCTGAATCATTTGCTGAAGAAAACTAGGAGACTTCTAAGACCCAGGTCTGGCTTCTGAAGCTGTGTTTCCATCCGATGTATCATGAGGCATCTTTGGCCCAAAAGACTAGCTGAGTCTGCTACCCTGGTGGCGCACACCCCACACGCCACGCTATACCACTTCATGTGTAGTGTGATAACCCTTAAAACAGAATTTCCAGTTCCTTCCTCCCATCTCATGACATTGCCATCATCTATTTCATTCATTCATGTGCTGTAACCACCCAGAACATTGAATTTCTGACCTATATCATCTTCTTTCTCTTTGAAGAACTTTCTTTTTTTTTTTTTTTTTTTTGAGATAGAGTATCACTCTCTCACCCAGGCTAGAGTACAATGGCACAATCTCAGTTCACTGCCTCTTAAGTTCAAGCAATTTTCCTGTCTCAGCCTCCCTAGTAGCTAGGATTACAGGCGCCCACCACCATGCCCAGCTAATTTTTGTATTTTTAGTAGAGAGGGGGTTTCACCGTGTTGGAAAGGTTGGTCTCGAACGTCTGACCTCAGCTGATCCAACCATCTTGGCCTCCCAAAGTGCTGGGATTACAGGTATGAACCACCGCACCCAGCCTGAAGAACTTCTTTTAATGTGTTTTTTTTTTTTTTTTTGGTAGGGAGATCTGCTGGTGATTAATTTCTTCCACTGCTTTTCTGGGAAAACCTTCACTTTTTTTTCACTCCTGAAGGATAATTTCACCAGATCTAAACTCCTGTTGATGGGTTTTTATTCTCTCTTTCTCTCTCCCACCACTTTATTTCACCCTACTCTCTCTTGATTGCCTGGGTTCTAATGGTAAGTTTGCTGCAATTCTTCTCCTAGTTCTTCTTTAGGTAAGGTATTTTTCCCCCTCTGGCTTCTCTCAAGGTTTTTACTCATCTTCGCTTATCTGCAATTTGCATAGGATATGCCTCGCTGTCAATTTTTGGTATTTTTCCTGCTTATGCCTCTTAGATTCCTGGATCTGCTGTTTCATATCTATCATGAGTTTCAGAAAATTCTTAGCCATTTTTTAATTTTTTCCAGATGGAGTCTAGCTCTGCGGCCCAGGCTGGAGTGCAGTGGTGCGATCTTGGCTCACTGCAACCTCTGCCTCCTGCGTTCAACTGATTCTCCTGCCTCAGCCTCCCAAGTAGCTGAAATGACAGGTGCCCATCCCTATGCCCAGCTAATTTTTGCAGTTTTAGTAGAGACAGAGTTTCACCATGTTGGCCAGGCTGGTCTGGAACTCCTGGCCTCAGGTAATCCACCCACCTCGGCCTCCGATGGTGCTGGGATTACAGGCAAGAGCCCGCCCTTTTAGCCATCTTTACTTCAAATATTTCTTCACCTCCTTTTTCTCTTTCTCATTTTCCAGTTATCTATATTTATATTTTTTCGAATTGTTCCACAGTCCTTGGATGTTCTGTTGTTTGTTTTTGTAACTTCTGTTTTTCTCTGTTTATCAGTTTGGGAAGTTGCTGTTGGTGCATCGTAAAGCGCGCTGACGTTCTCGGCAGTCTCGGTCTACTCATGCTTGCCAAAGGCATTTTTATTTGTTACGGTGTTTCTGATTCTTAATATATCTTTTAATTTTTTTTCTTAAAGTGGACCTCTCTCTGTGTCTACAACCCATTTGTCCTTGCCAGTGTCCTTGTAAATACTCAGAGATGTTTGTTCTTGATGTTGTCAACTTCTTCCACCAGAGCCCCTAACGTATTAGTCATGCTTATTCTAAATCTCATGTCAGCATCTGTGTCATGCTCCAGGCTCCCTCTGATGCTCCTTCTGACTGTGACTTTTCTTATCTTTTTTCATGCCTTGTTGTTTTTCTGGCGAGCCAGCCAGGATGTACTAGATAATAGGAACCTAGGTAAGTAGGTCTGAGGGTGAGGATTTACGTTTCTCTGGCTGGGGCTGGGCTGTGTTTGACGTCTTCTGTGGCTGTAGGAGCCCAAACCTCATGGCTATTGCCCAGGCTGTGTCACTTCTGCCTCCGTACACCCATCTGGAGCCCTGTGTTGATGTGTGACTATCATCCAGTTCTGAGTCCCAGCTGGGAAGCAGGGGCCATTGTAGGTGCCCTCCCTGGGGCTGTGTACCCTCTGACTCCATCCTGGCTCTGCCTGTGCCCAGCTCTCTGTGCAAGCAGCCCCTGCAGGCTGCATGCCCCACCCTAGCAGCCCCCTGCTAGCTTCAGCCAGTGAAAAGCACAGGTGGGAGTTGGAGGGGAGGTGGCAGGGAAAAGCCGGGGTATCCCCCTGCTCTGTCTGCGAAGAATCTCTGACAGTGGCTGTCTCCAGTTCTGGCCAGACAGGCTGTGTGAGGGTCCAGCTTTGACAAGGTGACCATAGCTCCTTGGTTCCTGCAGCAGCTCCTGCTCTCCCTGTATCGAGGATCTAGGGATTGTTCCTACTGTGGCTGATCTCAAGGTTACTTCACTGACCACTGTATGGCTTTTTAGCCTCTTTGGCTTCAGTTCTCTGCATTAAATTCCCCGTGTTTCAAATACTCAGTGATGTCTGGTTTCGTGCAGAGACCCTGACCCTTAGATTGCACCTGTTCAGGCCAGAGCCACTGACCTCTGTGTGCTCCATCCCTGAAGCCTCTAATCCACCCCCAGCTCTGCCAGGAGCGTGTGCCCAAGGACAGACCTGGTTCCCCAGGACAGTCCAAAGAGACCTGCAGAAAATGGATGTGTACGTTGGGGCCCATGAAGATGGAGTAGGAGCTCACTGGACAGAGAAGAGGAGGAAGGGCACTCCAGGGAGGAGCAAATGCTGAGGTACGCTTGGGAAAATGCCAGGGTGGCTTTGGTGCTGTGAGATTCTGGGGTAGGTGAAACAGTGTGTGTGTGTCTGTGTGTGTGTGTGTGTGTCTGTGTGTGTCTGTGTGTGTGTCTGTGTGTGTCTGTGTGTGCATGTCTGTGTGTGTGTCTCTGTGTGTGTGTCTGTGTGTGTCTGTGTGTATGTGTCTGTCTCTGTGTGTCTGTGTGTGTCTGTCTGTGTGTGTGCCTGTGTGTGTGTGTCTGTGTGTATGTCTGTGTGTCTTTGTGTGTATGTCTCTGTGTGTCTGTGTGTGTGTCTGTGTGTGTGTGTGTATGTCTGTGTGTGTCTTTGTGTGTATGTGTCTCTGTGTGTGTGTGTCTCTGTGTGTGTCTGTGTGTGTGTGTCTTTGTGTGTATGTGTCTATCTCTGTGTGTGTGTCTGTGTGTGTGTCTGCGTGGGGGTGCGGGGATTGGGTCTGAAGCGCCAGCAGGAGCAGCTGAATAAAAGGCTAGATGCCCACCCCAGGAGGTAGAGTCATCAGAGCTCCCTATGGAGAGTGGAAGGGAGAGCCCCAGTGGGTCCTAGACTGCCGGGGAATTGCTGGCCCAGGAGCAGAGACTGGGAAGAGTGGGGGCAAAGGGTGGATTGGGAGGCTGCTCCTCCCTCCGCCCCCCAGCTTCCCTTCCCCCCTCCCCCCCCCAGGCCAGGTTTCGCTTCTCCCTGAGAGTCCTGGAGAAACACCCCCTGTCCTTTCCCCTGCACCCCCGTTTTTAGGCTGTTCCGTGAGAGCTTTTGGGGATGGCTGGCTTCAGGGGTTACCTCCCTTAGCCGAGTGGGTGGTGGAACCTTGGAACCGGAGCCGCGGAGTCCAGGCCTCTGGCCCTGCGCCTCCCTGGCTAAATAGCGCCCTGGGGGGAGTGGGGGAAGCAGGGCCCCAGGCGGAACCGGGAAAACACACCGGGGCTTTCAACAGAGCGGGCCACTCCCATTGCATGTGGAAAGCGTTTAAAAGAGGTCCTGGCGTAGGCTGCCGCCGCGTCCCTCTTCCTTCAGTCTCGCCGCGTGTCCCTGAGCAGAGGTGGCCTCCTAGAAGGGGAGGTCCCCGAACTCGAGGCCCTGCGTGGCGGGGAGGCGAGTGCCCGCCCCTTCCCTGCCGCCGCGAGCGCCCGGGCGGGAACCGGGGCTGCCGTCCCTCCGCCTCTCCCCTCGCGGGGCGCGGCGATGGCCCGGGCCGGGGCCGGGGCGCTGCTGGCGCTGTGGGTGCTCGGGGCCGCGGCGCATCCGCAGTGCCTGGACTTCAGGCCGCCCTTCCGGCCGCAGCAGCTGCTGGCCCTCTGCTCGCGGTACTCGGTCTTCGGCTGCTGCGACGAGAAGCGCGACGCCGAGCTGACCAGCCGCTTCTGGGCCCTGGCGAACCGCATGCTGGCCGCCGAGTGGGCCGACTGCGCCGGCTACGCCCGGGAGCTGCTGTGCCAGGTGAGCGGGCGCGCGGCCACGGGGCGGGATGGAGCGCGGGCGGCCAGGTCCGGGAGCGCAGATCCGAACCGCGCTGGGGCGAGGGCCGAGAGTGGGCGGCGGACTCGGGAACTCTAGGCCCCAAGAGGGAGTCATTTGGCACGGGGCGGAGAGACCCGGCATCCCAGGACGACTCTGGGCTTTGCCATTCATTAGTTTAGGGACTTGGGCCTTCTTGGGGCCTCAGTTTCCCCTCCTGAAGCAGGAGTGCCGGACAGATGATTTCCTCAGAGGTTGGGGGCTCCTCCGCCTCGGCCCCCTGGAGTCGACCGGCCAGTGACCCACCCCGAGCAGCCGCTCCTGTGTGTGGGTACCAGGGTGGAGAGGCATCTGTCCCGGTCCGTGCTCCGCTGTGCTGTCGCCCAGACAGTGAAATCAGGGGGCCCTGCCGTGGGCTTGGTCAACATGTGGCCAGGGTTTGTTGAGGGTGTTCGGGGCCACTGTCCCCATGAGAGTCCCTCCCCCACCCTGATGCCCTTGGCACTTCTGCCACCGTCTCCTGGGGATGGCGCCCCGGCCTGGCAGAAGCTGTCTCAAGACTATCTGAGTGACAGCTCTTTGTTGAAGGCCCTGGACCCCCATCTTCCCTCTGAGGGTGGAGCCCTTGCTTCTGGGCACACCTGGCAGGGCCACCGATGTTTGTTTTCCTCTTGTGGGAGTCTGAGGCCCCAGCGCCCGACCACACCCAAGCGGGCAAACGCTGCCTGAATGCAGAAATGGGGCAGGATGGGCAGCCCCAAGGCATTGGTGGCCCAGCGTCTGGGCAGTGAGAGGCCTGGGGTGGAGAGCCCCTGGGGCCAGAGCCATGTCCCAGCCTTTGGCCAGGAGGGGCAGTTGGTCTGGGGAGGGCAAAAGGGCTGACTTGGAGTCAGAGTTTGATCCTGGCTCTGTCACTTCCTCAGCTTCGTGGCTAGGCAGGTCACTGATCCACCTCACTGATAGTCTCTTTAAAATGAGGCCCGGCGCGGTGGCTCACACCTGTAACCCCAGCCCTTTGGGAGGCTGAGGTGGGCAGATCATGTGAGGTCAGAAGTTCAAGACCATCCTGGCCAACATGGCAAAACCCCATCTCTACAAAAATTAACTGGGCATGTTGGCGAGCGCTTGCAATCCCAGCTACTCAGGAGGCTGAGGTAGGAGAATCACTTGACTCCAGGAGGCAGAAGTTGCAGTGAGCCAAGATTGAGCCACTGCACTCCAGCCTGGACAACAGAGCAAGACTCTGTCTCAAATAATAATAATAATAATGTAATATATAAAATAAATAAAATAAAACTTTAACCACCCCCTGGGTTGCCATGCAGATTAAATGCCTCATGCTAGGGGCTTGGTAAATGTTTGCAGTTGGATTTCTTGAGGGTTTCCTTGGCCCTCGCTGGCTGCCCAGCCCTGGGAGGGGCCCAGGTGACGCTCGGAGCCAAATTCAAGGAAAACCCAGAGAGAAGCAGGGATTTGCCCAGCGGTCACACAGCCCAGCAGTGGTTGAGATGGGGACATGGACCATACTCGCTGGCGTGAGCGCTTGTCTAGGTGAGAAGCAGAAGGGTCTGGGAGGATGAGGAGGGGGCCCTGGGGAGCTCCAGAATGCAACAAAGCGTGGGCTGGTCACCTGTAGGTGGGTTCTGCTGGACTCCCACGCTGTGCACCCCAAGGGCACGGGAATGGTCTGGCCAACTGTCTGGTTCCCTCACCAGCCTGGGGACCCCTCAGGACCAGGTCCTTTGGTCTCCCCACCCCTATCACATAGCAGGGTTCCTGCATCCATGCCACATTTGTCTATTGAGCACTTGCTATGTGCCAGGCTCGGCAGGGCAGTGAGGGGGGCAGGTGGATGGAAGAAGGGAAGGGTCAGTCCTGATGCTGTCCCCTGGCAGGGCACCTTTCTTTTTTTGGGAACCTTCCCAGGACAGCCTGGCCTTAAGCAACCAGCAGTGGAGTGACCACTAACACTTCAGCCCAGGCGTCTCTAAGAGTGACCTCATGTCTGAAGTGAGCTTGGAGATGGCGGCTGAGACAGAGTCACGGTTTCACTGACGGGGCCTCCTAGAGCAGGCTGGCAGGAGGATGTGCTCTCTGCTAGCCAAGGCGGAGTCTGCATTTGGCACCTCCTGATTTCCATGTGGGGAGGTGGCAGAGGTGCTTATTTATAGGTCTCTGTCAGCATGGAGGCACTCAGGCCTCCGCACCTGCCCTGGGGAGATGGGAGACTCTTTCCTGGGGCTTTGCTTGTCCAGTAGATGCCTGTGTCCTCTGGAGGAGAGAGGGCGACCCTGGCACGTGGCACTCCCAGTTTGCTGGTGTGAGCCTTCCACGGCACTAACCTCCCCTGCGCCTGGGGTTGCCTAAGTCGCTGGTCATCGCAGCATGTTTCCTGATGGAGATCTACGTGAAATGTGCTCTACTTGCTCATGTATTCGGCAGGCTCTTCCTCAGCCTGTTAGGAGTCAGCCCTGTGCTGGCTGCTGGGCCCAAAGGCCATTGGAAAGTCACAGGCTCAGTCTCAAAACTCCCCTTTGTCACTTCGGGAGACTGACACACACAGGAAGGTGCCAGGGATTCCCCAAGGAGGGTAGGGAAAAGGCCACATAGCCCAGGGAAGGCTTCCTGGAGGAGGAAGCGTTGAGTTGCATGTCTACTGCTCATATTTACTGAACAAACATACACACCTTCTCCATCTGTTCCTCCCAACAGCTCTGTGAGGTTGGAATTCCTTCCCCCTTCTATAGAGGAGGACGCAGGCACAGAGAGGTCGAGGAGCTTATCCACGGTCACACAGGGACCGTGTGCTCTGGCTCTCCTAATCACTTTGCCACACTGCCTCCCTCCTTGAAGCTCCACTGTGTACCACAGTCGGTGGAGTGGACAGACATGCAAAGAGATGATAAAGTCCCAGCCAGGCCGACAGGCTGGAGCGCCCTGGCGGCGGAGCCGTGACTGCTGTAGAGAGCTCCCCTGTAAGCTGCAAGACTCAGTGGAGTGAGGGCAGTGTGAGACACGCACAGTGCATTGGGAACATTCATACGGGCCAGGGAGGGGACAGTCAGTGCCCTGGGAGCATGGAGGACAAGGGAAGACCTTTGAGTTGGCCTTCAGTCACAAATAGCAGTTTGCCAGAAGAGGGAGTGGGTGAGGGGCGACTATCTGATGGACAGGACACCGTGTTCAAAGGATCAGTCTTTCGAAGAACAAATGGTGGACATAAGAAAGCTTCAGGACCCAGGGCCGTAAGTCACGAGTGTCAGTGACATGTGGTGGCAAACTCTGGGCAAGATGGGGGCTCTCCACCCTGCACTGAATGGCCCAGGCAGCTGGACCCTGTGACATGGGGCTCCTTTCCCGTGGGCTTTCTGCCACCTGCCCCCAAACACAGTGAGGCCAAGCTGCAGATCGTCCTCTTGTCGCTTCCTAGTTCTGGACTACCCTGGTCTGGGCACCACATTTACATTGTATGTAAGGAAGAGTACATAGGCCACGCGGAAGCACCTGCCGGGCGCCTGGGACGTGTGGGTGCTGAGGTCTGCGGTCTGGCTCCCGGAGGACCTTTTGCTCCCTCTGTCGTCCTGCACTGGGCTTTGCTGAACGGAGGGCTCTCGTTGCCTTCCAGATGTCTGTTCTGCCCCTCACCGTGTCTCTGGAACCAAGCTGGTCCCTGGCACAATTTCTGCTAAGTAAATTCTTGGTGAATGAAATGTTGCTGACTAATCTGGAAAGAACACCAGTCCAGACATCATGAGGCTTGGGTGTCAGCCCTGGTCTGGCTACTTCTTGGCCTGTGTCCTTCTTCAAGCTTCAGTTCCTCATCTATAAAATAGGAGTCAAGCCGGGTGCAGTGGCTCATGCCTATAATCCCAGAACTTTAGCGGACCAAGGCGGGAAGATTGCTTGAGCCCAGGAGTTCAAGACAAGCCTAGGCAATATAGGGAGACCCTGTCTCTACAAAAAATAAAAAGGAAAATTAGCCGGGTATGGTGCAGCAGGTCTGTGGTTCCGGCTACTCTGGAGGCTGAGGTGGGGAGGATCGTTTGAGCCCAGGAGGTCAAGGCTACAGTGAGCTAGGATTATACCACTGCACTCCAGCCTGGGTGACAGAGCGAGACCCCGTCTCAAAAAATAAATAAACAAATAAAGTAAAATAGTCACAGTGACCCTCCCTTGCAAAGATGAAAGAAGGCACGTGCACACAGCCCCTCCCTGGACCAGGTGCAGCTGCTGGCTGGCCCACTGGCGGCTCCCCGGGGGAACTGTGGGAGGGACAGCACACGGAGGCCCGAGGCCTGGCCATCTGGCCTGCTCATTGGCAGAGGGGAGCATGTAAGACATAGCACCCCAGTCTACACCTGGGACAGCAACTGACCCAGGACTCCAAGACATTCCACCAAGTGACCCTTGGCCTGTCGGGTGAGACCTAGCCTCACAGCAGTAGAGGGGCCAGGAGGACAGGCTGTGGTGTGACCAAAAGCCACAGTCGTGTCACAGGAGTGAGCAGGCCCTGGCCTGGGACTTGAGAACTCCCTGGGAGGCAGCCTGCCATCCCCCATCCCCAATCCTCCCCAAACGTCCCAGAGGCCTCCTGCTGGAACCCAGCCTGGCCCTCCCTGTGAGGGGAGGGAGGGTGTGGCTGTCAGTGCCTCCCCACTGCAGAAGGAGCACCCCTGAATTCTCTGGGGACCCAGAGCTGACTCAGACATGGCCTTGGCCTGGTGAACTCACAGGTGGGTAAGAGCATCAGCCACAGGTAAAAAGAATGACCATGCCACAGGCCAGCAGCTCTAACAGAGGGAGGCCCGCAGACAGCCTGGAGCCGAGATCTCTGCTTTGGGTATGGGTGGAACACAGGGAGGGTACTGTGGTGTGGGAACACTTAACTGGCATTTAGGGATGGGTAGCTTGGAGCTGGGCACACATAGCTCAAACCCCACTGGCCCACGTGACATGAGACCTTGGGCCAGTGGCTTCCTTCTGCTGTCTCTGCTCCCACCTCTGTGCGGTGGGAATAAGGACAGGCCTCCCTCCCGTGGTTGCCTTGAGGAAGAAATGCAGATTCATGGGCACACTGCCTGGTGCCTGACCCACAATCTTCCCAAAACCCCAGGAGCTGCTGTGATTGGTTAGCACTCCTTCTCCCATGGCCATGGCCATGATTTAAGGATAACGAGAGTTCTGCCTGCCAGAGAAGAGCAGAGGAAGGGCACGCTTGTGAAGGCAGCAGGCTGTGCTGAGGCTCAGAGGTGTGAAATGGCTGGGAGTATGTATTAGTCTGTTCTCTCACTGCTATAAAGAAATACCTGGCCGGGTGCGTTTGCTCGTGTCTGTAATCTCCCCACTTTGGGAGGCTGAAATGGGAGGATGGCTTGAGCTCTGGAGTTTGGGACTGACCTGGGCAACATGGCGAAACCCCATCTCTAGAAAAAAACCACAAAAATTAGCTAGGTGTGGTGGCTCTCAGGAGGCTGAGGCAGGAGGATCTCTTGAGCCCAAGAGGCAGAGGTTGCAGTGAGCTGAGATGGTGCCACTGCAATCCTCCTGGGTGGCTACCCAGGAGGCTGAGGCAGGAGGATCTCTTGAGCCCAAGAGGCAGAGGTTGCAGTGAGCTGAGATGGTGCCACTGCATTCCAGCCTGGGTGATAGAGAGAGACCCTGTCTCAAAAAAAAAAAAAAAAAAAAAAAAAAAAAAAGACTGGGTAATTTATAAAGAAGAGTTTTAATTGCCTCACAGTTCTGCAGGCTGCATAGGAAGCATAGCGGCTTCTGCTTCTACAGAGTTCTCAGGAAACTTACGATCATGGTGAAAAGCAAAAGGGAGGCAGGCATGTCCCATGGCGACAGCAGGAACAAGAGACAGAGATGGAGGTGGTGGCAGGTGTGATACGCTTTAAAACAACCAGATCTCACAAGAACTCACTCTACAGACAGTACCAAGTGGAGATGGTGCTAAACCGGTCGTGGTAACTCCGCCCCTGTGATCCAGTCACCTCCCCGCAGGCTCCTCCTCCGACACTGGGGATTACAATTCTACATGAGATTTGGGCGGGGACACAGATCCAAGCCATTCTGAGTAACATGAGATGGAAAGGAGACAGGAGGCTGGAGAGGTGCGGGGAGGCAGGAGCTGACGGTGGAGCTGTCCATGGGCAGAGCCGGGTCAGGGAGCACTTGGTGTTTTACTGTTTTTCAACAGATAGAGGCCAGAAGGTACTAGAGGGTGTGGACGAGGTGGTCACGGAGGACCGGAAGTGAGCCTTGGGCAGGAGGCCAAGTTAAATGCAGGAGTGAGCTGTGCTGATGTAGGGACGGAGGTGCGCTGTTAACACAGAGAGGGTGGGTGACAGTGCCTCAGACCCTTTTTGGCATGTGGCAGGTGCTCCAGAGGAGCTGCTGCTGCTATTAATAGGAGTAGTAATAGTGTCGTTTTGTGTTCTAGCAGAACAACACAAACATTAAGACCTAAGTTTTGCTACTGCTGTTGAGACTTGTTGCGGTAACAGGCAGATGGCATTGTCTCCATTTTATGGATCAGCAGACTGAGGCTCTGAGAGATGGGGGACCCACCCAAGGTCGTGCAGCGGGTAAGCACCTCCACAAAGCATCTCTGAACCATTGCTGTCTCTGCAGGAATGCTCACCGTATGCAGCCCACCTCTATGACGCTGAGGACCCGTCGACACCCCTGCGCACTGTGCCTGGGCTCTGCCAGGACTACTGCCTGACCATGTGGCAGAAATGCCGGAGGCTGCTCCGCCACTTATCAACCGACAAGGAGCTCAGGGCACTGGAGGACAACCGTGACAAGTTCTGCCACCACCTGTCCCTGGATGACACGGATTACTGCTACCCTAACCTAATGGTCAACAAGAGCCTCAACTCAGACCTGGGCCACATGGTAGCCGACGCCACCGGCTGCCTGCAGCTGTGCTTGGAGGAGGTGGCCAATGGGCTGCGAAACCCCGTGGCCATGGTCCACGCCGGCGACGGCACCCACCGCTTTTTTGTGGCCGAGCAGGTGGGGCTGGTGTGGGCCTACCTGCCCAACCGCTTCAGGCTGGAGAAGCCTTTCCTGAACATCAGCCGGGCGGTGCTCACCTCGCCCTGGGAGGGCGACGAGCGTGGCTTCCTGGGCATCGCCTTCCACCCCAGCTTCAGGCACAACCGCAAGCTCTACGTCTATTACTCAGTGGGGAATCGCGCTGAAGAGTGGATCCGCATCAGCGAGTTCAGGGTCTCTGAAGATGACGAGAACGCTGTGGACCACAGCTCTGAGAGGTGGCTTCCCTGGGGAACCGGGTCTGGGTGGGGACAGGGCACCATATGCACTGGTGTGACAGTACTAGTTGCTATCCTGTTCTTTTTTTTTTTTTTTTTTTTTTTCTTTGAGACGGAGTCTCGCTCTCGCTCTGTCATCAGGCTGGAGTGCAGTGGCGCAGTCTCGGCTCACTATAACCTCCGCCTCCCAGGTCCAAGCTATTCTCCTGCCTCAGCCTTCTGAGAAGCCAAGATTACAGGCATGCACCACCATGCCCAGCTAATTTTTTTATTTTTAGTAGAGATGGGGTTTCACTATGTTGGTCAGGCTAGTCTCAAACTCCTGACCTGTGATCCACCCGACTCGGCCTCCCAAATTGCTGGGATTACAGGCGTGAGCCACCATGCCCAGCAGTATACTGTTCTTAAATATTATGACTATTTAACACACCTGGTGGGTGTGGTGAATTTCATGCTTTGGGGCCTGGGGAAGGACAGTTTTGCAGAACAGACCTCACATGGGGATCATATCCAACCCCTCCATCTGGCCTACAAGGCCCAAGGTTTCTCCACCAGCTCTTCTGTTTCAGGCACTTTAGACGGTTCATTTCATTTGATTCTCCTAAAACCTACTGAGGCTAGTATTATTTTTCCCATTTTACAGATGAGAAAGTCAAGACTTAGAGAGGTGGAGTACTGGGTCACACGGGGAGGGAGTGTCAGAGCCAGAACCCTGATCTGTTTTCTCCAAAGCCCACAGTCTGCCCCAGCCTGCCTCACTCTGGCCTGAAGGTGCCATTCTTGAGCCCCACTGGCTCCTTTTTCCCACCTGAATCCCCTGCCCACGGGAACTTGCTTTCCTTCCTGCCCTGAGGTTCATCTGTTCTTGCCTTTGGGCTTCTGCTCCTCTCAACAACTCCTGCAGAGCCTGCAATCTGTGGCTCATTTATGCCCCAGCTATTTTCAAAATGGGTCTGACTTGGTCGCGCATGTGGGGCACACATAGTCTGAAACAAACCCTGTATCAGCTTTCTCAGTAGGCAGACTTTGATTCTGGGAGTCAGTTACTCAGGTGTTCGGAATGAGAAAAGGGCTCCGGCGCCATGGCTCACACCTGTAACCCTAAGACTTTGGGAGGCTGAGGCGGGTGGACCACTTGAGGTCAGGAGTTCAAAACCAGCCTGGCTAACATGGCAAAACCTCATCTCTACTAAAAACACAAAAACTAGCTGGGTGCGGTGGTGGGCACCTGTAGTCCCAGCTATCCGGGAGGCTGAGGCAAGACAATTGCTTGAACCTGGGAGGTGGAGGTTGCAGTGAACTGAGATCCTGACACTGCACTGCAGCCTGAGTGATGGGCTCTGTCTCAAAAGAAAAAAAAAAAAAGGGGGAAACCTGGGGAAGGAAGGCAGCGACTCTGAGATTAACAACTGGAAGAAGCTGCCTGTGGGGCCAGGAGGACAAAGTGAGAAGACGGGGTTACTGGGGCTCTGGAGCCGGGGACATGCAGTAGAAGCTAGAACTGTAACTGGCCTGGGCAGGAGGAGGTGGAGCCAGGGAGAAGGAGCAGCTGCCGCCAAAAGAGAAGCTGCTTAAAACAGAGAAGGGGAGAAATCCCAGTGCTCCTGCCTCTCTGGGGTCCTGCCAGTGCTGTCCACTGGCTGAACCTCGCTGGAGCCCAGCTAGCTAAGAAGCCTGGGAAATGTCATTCACAGAAGCTGACCCCCTGAAGTAGAGAGGAAGTAATAGGAGGGCCGGGACTGGGTCTGAGGGCAAACTGGCAAAGAACAGCACATTGTGTGTTTGATAAAACTGTAAAATCTTGCCACTGAATGCATAAAAAGAGGAGAAATCAACTATGACAGCTATGAGGGCTAACATGATTCTTTACGATGCACAGCATTAGTCTTGACTATGAGCTTCCTGGCAGCCAGAGCAAAAGGAGGAAACATCATTCTCAGGATCTTACATGAGCCCGTACAGCCAGTTCTCCAAGAGAACTGTGGCTCATGCCTGTAATCCCAGCATTTTGGGAGGTTGAGGTGGGTGAATCATTTGAGGTCAGGAGGTCAAGACCAACCCTGCCAACATGGTGAAACACCGTCTCTACTAAAAATACAAAAATTAGCAGGGCATGGTGTTGGGCACCTGTAATCCCAGCTACTCTGGAGGCTGAGGCAGGAGAATTGCTTGAACCTGGAAGGTGGAAGGTTGCAGTGAGCCAAGACTGCACCATTGCACTCCAGCCTGGGCGACAAAGCAAGACTCTGTCTCAAAAAAAGAAAAGAAAAGAAAAGCCTTTTCCATTGTGAAATGACATCCAAGAAAGACCGTGATCTTGTCTTGTGTTTTTGGCTCATGCATGGATGGCTGAGTTTTGTGGGTCCCTTATCTTTCTTTAGGGTAATCCTGGAGGTCAAAGAACCAGCCTCGAACCACAACGGGGGCCAGCTGCTCTTCGGGGATGATGGGTACCTCTACATCTTCACCGGAGATGGCGGGATGGCCGGAGACCCCTTTGGGACGTTTGGAAATGCCCAGAACAAGTATGCTCAGCTTTCGGTTGGCTAGTGGGTTGGTTCAGATGTCCCCAAACTACGGCCCGCGGGCTGCATGCGGCCCCCTGAGGCCATTTATCCGGCCCCCCGCCGCACTTCAGGAAGGGGCACCTCTTTCATTGGTGGTCAGTGAGAGGAGCACAGTATGTGGCGGCCCTCCAACGGTCTGAGGGACAGTGAACTGGCCCCCTGTGTCAAAAGTTTGGGGACGCCTGGTTTACATACTCCTGGGCTTCTCATATGCTTCCAGAGGCCAAGTTCCTTCCTCAGCCAGGCAGCGTAGGGCAGGGGAAAAGGTTCTGGGTCCCAGCTCAGCCTGCAACTAGCTGGGCAGACTAGGCAAGTCACTTCCCCTCATCAGTTAGAGGAGGTAAAAGTCCCCAGTGCAAGTGGCTTGTCACAAGAAGTAAAGGTGATTGTGGCTGCCCAGCGTCAGGCACAGTAGTTTCGGATTACAGGCGCCTGAGAGGTGACATCAGCGAGCCTCAGGGCAGATGGGATTTTCTCTAAGGACAGCCTTCGCTGCTGGAAGAAGGGAAGGGGTGCGTCTTGGGCTGAATGGAAAGTGTGAGCTGGCTGGAGCAGGGTGGCAGCAGCACGGGATCTCCTGCCTTAGGGTCCCTCAGGAAGACCCAGACATTAATGTGTAGCCTTGCTCGCTTCCCCACTTCCTGGCTTGAGCAAATAAGCTCAAGATCTCATTCCATCACACACACATACACAAATATGCACACATGCACATATACACACACAAACATGCATACACATACATGTACACACGTCCACACACATCCACATACATATACTCGTTCACACACATACACACGCACAGTCTTGTGTGTGTAAACAGGATGTCCGGGAGTCTGAAGTCAGCCTCCTCATTCCCTTCGCCAAAATGGTAAAACCCTCCTCAGCCCAGGAAGTAAAAATAGCAAGTGTGGTGTTGATGACAGTAATTAAAGGGCTCACACTTTGTGAGTTGTGCTTTCATATGTGACAGCGGAAGCATCGTCCCAGCTTTCTCATGTTTGGGATATGTTTAGAGAGGACAGCTGAGAAAATAGAAATTAAGGATGAGTGGATAATTGGACAGAACTTCAAAACATCGTTTTGCTGCTATGAGTTTTGCCCACTTAGCTATGGAATCGTGCATGGGCTCAGAGGTGTGATCCAGACGGCGCTCAGAAGCCTGGAGCGATGAGAGGAATCTATGGGGAAAGGCCAGCAGCAGGGGCTTGATCACAACGCACGTATTGGGTGGGAGCATTTCACCACCATGAAAGAGGACACTTGTTTGCTGTCCCTACTGATAAGGGGTAGGCGTGGGTGCTAATGCTATGTGAGGATAATGGAATATGGCTTCACAAACCCTGTCTTAAAAAGCAACCCAGAGGGAGGACACCAAAATGCTGATAGCAAGGGAAGCTGATGCATTAAGTTGGTGCCTCAAAAATCATAGATAAAAAGGGAATGTTCCCTGCACTGTCTTTTAGCGCATTACAGATTCTTCCCGTCATGCGCCACGTTTGTCATGAGCTACTCATCTCCTGAACTGCATGGAGCTTAGGGCTGCACCCCTGTGCTCTCTTCCCCTCCCCCCGACACCCACACTCTGGTAGGTGTGTCCTAGTATGTTTTATCATTTGTGGGTCCTAGCAGGTTTTATCATTTTGGCTAAGGGAATGGGGGAGGCTGATTTGGGACTCCTGGACGTCCTGTTTACACATCCTGTTTGGCTTTTATTGCAATCCGTCATTCACTGATTCAGCAGACACTTAATGGTCCTGCACTATGTGCTGGTCACAATGCCGGGTACTGGAAGAAAAATGTAAATACAAATCATTTTTCTACTGGAATTTTAACGCTATAGCACAGTCTGGGAGGACTGAGTGGACTGAGTGGGACCACTCTAAAGTCATAGTTGAGGACACCCACATTCCACAGTGTGTGGTAAGAAGCTTGGGTTTCTGGGCAGTCTGTCTGCGCTAATCCCAGCGGTTTGCTAACTGGGCAACATTATGTGACCTTTCTGAGCTCTGCTGCCACAGCTGTAGAGGGGGGATCATACTAGGAGTCACCTACCTAAAAGACTCTTGTGAGGACAAGACGAAATAGATGATGTGTGTGTCCAATGCTTGGGACAGGCCTGGCGCACAGTAAGGCGGGAGATGCATGTTGAATGAATGAATGATGTTACCCGGCTGTAAGCAGCTAAGGAGGACTGGATCCCGGGGTCTCTGGCCCCACAACCTAGGCTCACCCTGCACCTGGCTCAGTGACCCCGAGCCGCGCCCTCTCCCACCCTGCCCGCAGGTCGGCGCTGCTGGGCAAGGTGCTGCGCATCGACGTGGACCGCAAGGAGCACGACCTGCCCTACGGCATCCCGCCCGACAACCCGTTCCTGGGAGACCCCGCCGCGCGGCGCGAGGTCTACGCCCTGGGCGTGCGCAACATGTGGCGCTGCTCCTTCGACCGCGGCGACCCCCAGTCGGGCGCGGGCCGCGGGCGCCTCTTCTGCGGCGACGTGGGCCAGAACAAGTACGAGGAGGTGGACCTGGTGGAGCGCGGCGGTAACTACGGCTGGCGCGCACGCGAGGGGTTCCAGTGCTACGACAGCAGCCTGTGCGTCAACGCCTCGCTCAGTGAGTGCCCGCGCCTCAGGGACCCCAGCCCCGGACCTGCCCCCACCCCACCTCACCTGCTGTGCCGCAGGGCCTCCCTCAGGGACCACCCGCGCCCCGGGATCCCGGGCCCCACTCTGTGAGCTGTGCGGCAGGGCCTCACTTGGGGACCACCCGCACCCCAGGCACCCCCGACCCTGGGTCTGCCCCCACTCGAACCCCATGGGCTGTGCACTAACGCCTCCCTCGGCGACTGCCGTCGCCCTCAACCGAAGCCTCCCTGCGCCTTGGAGGCCTCCCAGCAATGCTCTTCTGTTCCTCCTCGCCCCATCCCCACCTGGCACCCCTGCCGACAAGTTTTCCAAAACGCCAGCCCTGCTGTGGGCACACGCCTTCCTCTGTGGCCGCCCCGCCCCCGCGGAATCCCTCTGGAATTCTCCTGGGAGGTGAACTTGCTCGCCACGGGCTCACCGCAGCTTCTCGCCCTCCCACCCCGCAGATGACAAGCTGCCGATTTTTGCCTACCCGCACACAATTGGCAAGTCAGTCACAGGGGGCTACGTGTACCGGGGCTGCGAGTACCCCAACCTGAACGGCCTCTACATTTTTGGGGATTTCATGACCGGGTAAGTGGCCTAGTGCCCTCATGCCCCTGGCTGCTGCCACTGACTCCTTGGGATTGGCTCTTTGGTGAAAAGGAGTGTATGTGTGTGCCCCCGTTCCTGCACATGTGCCTCGCTGATGGGCTCCCAGGTTGTGGGCTGGACACCTGCATCCACCCGCTTCTCCGAGATGCATCCTGAGCCTTTGCTGCAGGCCTCAGTACCTCTGTGATAGTTACACAACTCACGGCATTGAAGACTGGAGGTTTGCTTCAGTGCGGGGCCCTTGATCTTCCTGTCCCCGCTGAGAACCATGTGCTCTGCATCTGGCAGCAGTTCGGATGGGCAGGAGGGCAGAACAGGAACAATTTTCTTGACACTCAGGGCCATCCTGCTCCTGGGAAAGCCATGGCTTGTCACTGAGCTGATGGGGGCCTGGAGCCCTGCGCAGCCCACCCCAGCCAGGACTGCAGAGAGCTTGCAAAGCTTGGGAAACTTTGCTTGGCTGGATGGATGGATGGACCCCAGAGGACAGTGGCTGCCCATGAGCCTCCTAATGGGGAGAGGAGGTGGGGCTCTTGTGGCCTTGGGGCCTTGCTGCCCTGACCCTGTGCTCTAGGGCAGCAGTGGCACCCACTGAGACCCTGTTGTGGGGGCAGGATGAATCACATCCCAAATAGGCTTGATAGGGGAGGGAAACCTACATCACAAGCCTCCTGTGAGTCAGGCTTTGTCCCCAAGGGTGCTGATAGAGTCTCATGACAGTGGGCCAAGTGGCCTGGTCTGAACCCTGGCCCACTTACTGGCCAGGTGACCTTGGCCAGTTACTTTACCCTTCCTTACCTTCAGCTACCTCATCTGCAACACGGAGATGATCACAGTACTTACCCCCAGGTTTGTTTTGAGAACTGAATCAGTTAATACATAAATAGCTCTTATAATCTAGTGTGCAATCGAAAGAAAGAAAAGAAAGAGAAAAAGAAAAAGAATCTAGTGCATGCTTAATATGTAGTATTTTTGTTGTTGTTGTTGTTGTTGTTGTTGTCGTTGTTGTTTTGAGACAGCATCTCATTTTGTTGCCCAGGGTAGAGTGCAGTGGCACAATCTCAGCTCACTGCAGCCTCCACCTCCCAGGATCAAGCAATCCTCCCACCTCAGCCTCCTGAGTGACTGAGACTATAGTCCTGTGCCACCATGCCTGGCTAATTTTTGCATCTTTTGTAGAAATGGGGTCTTGGTCTGTTGCCCAAGCTGGTCTTGAACTCCTGGACTCAAGTGATTCTCCTGCCTCAGCCTCCCAAAGTGCTGGAATTACAGGCTCAAGGCATGATGCCCAGCCTGGTGTTTCTTATTTCCATGCAGCCTATTTCCATGCATTCTTCTTCAGAAGGCAGGTGAATAGGGTTCCTAAGGAGGGGGAATAAAGATGTGAAGTTGCCTGAGGCTGGTGGGAGAATTCTGACTTTGTGTCCAGCCTGCAGCCTGAAGCTGAGAGAGATATCTGACCTGGGCCCCTGGAAGTTGAATCCCTCTCATCTCTGCCCCTTCCCCTCAGACCCAGCTTTTCCATCTGGAAAATGGGTATAGATGAAGCCTCTGTTTTCACCCCTGATTCTTCTTTCTCCCTTCTGTCCTTCCCAGAAGGGCCCAAGTCTCCTGACCACAGAAATTCAACTAATTTTGCCAGTTTTCTCTGCCCCTCTCCAAGGGCCAGGATGACAGAGATGAAGAGCACCCCTCACACCCAAGCCAGGGAGACAGACCCATTCAGTCCACTGCAGTGCACCCTCAGAGAGCACAGTGTGGGGAGGCCAGCATGAGGGCATTCAGGGAGGGCTTCACAGAGGAGGGGATGTCTCTAAGCAAGACCTGGAAGTACGAATAGGTGATTGGCAAGCCGAGATGGGAGTTAGGAGCAAGGTTAGCATATTCCAAAGATGTTCAAGCTCCAGTGCTTGGCAGGTTCTGAACCTGGTGAGCTCTTGACAGCATTGTTCCCTCTGCAGGAGCCAGTGGGCAGGATTGCGTTCAGGGTGCAGGAACCAAGCTAGTCTTGTTCATTCTTGTGGGTCTCTGGTAGGTGCTTAGCAAAGATTGCACACAGTGACAGCTTCATGGACATATGCAGTCACACTGGTCCCCATGCTCAGAAAGGTCCACGCTTGATCTCATGCTCTGTGGTCACTATCTTGAATTCTTAATACTTTTGAACAAGCCCTGCATGCTCATTCTGCACTGGGCTTGGCAAATTGTGTATGGTCCTTGCATGAATCAGTGGGTGAGTGGATGGATGGATGGATGGATGTGGGAGGGAGGGATGGATGGATTGGTGGATAGATTTCCCTAGGTGCCATGCCAGGCATGGCCTCACAGTTCATCTTCCTTTGCAGGCGTCTGATGTCCCTCCATGAGAACCCAGAGACAGGCCAGTGGCAGTATAATGAGATCTGCATGGGCCACGGCCAGACCTGTGACTTCCCAGGCCTCATCAACCACTACTACCCTCACATCATCTCCTTTGGGGAGGACGAGGCCGGTGAGCGCTCCTGAGACCTCTCCTTGCTGGTTGCTCATCCCTGGGACTGGTCCTCCACCCCGTGGGCCTTCTGGTTTCTGATATGGCGGAAGGACCACACAGGCCTAGAATTAGTTCCCACGGGAGGAAGATGTTCCCTGGGCTCCAGACCTTGCATGTGCCTGTGTTACAGGAAAGGGGTCCCGTGCCAGAGCCCAAGAGAGGGTTCTTGGATCTCACACAAGAAAGAATTCAGTGCAAGTCCATAGAGTAAAGTGAAAGTAAAGGAATAGAACTGGCTGCTCCATGGACAGAGCAGCCCCGAGGGCTGCTGGGTGCCTATTTTTATGGTTATTTCATGATGGTATGCTAAACAAGGGGTGGGTTATTCATGCCTCCCCTTTTTAGAGCATATAGGGTAACTTCTTGACATTGCCATGGCATTTGTAAACTGTCATGGTGCCAGTGGGAATGTAGCACTGAGGAGGCCCAGAGGTCACTCTCATCGCCATCTTGGTTTTGCTAGGGTTAGTCAGCTTCTTCACTGCAAACTCTTTTATCAGCAAAGTTTTTATAACCTGTGTTTTGTGCCGACCTCCAATCTCATTCTGTAACAAAATGCCTTAAATGTCTGGGAATGCAGCCCAGTGTTTCAGCCTTATTTTGCCCAGCTCCTATTCAAGATGGAGTTGCTCTGGTTCACATGCCTCTGACACATCCTTGGGCATCTTCACCTCTCTGAGCTTCTGTTTGTTCCTATGGAAAATGGAAGTAGTGGCGCCTTTCTTCCCCTCACCCCTACCCCACCCTGGGCAAGGCTGCCATGAGTTCTGGACTAATAACATGGGTAAGCGTCCCTGCCAGGTAGTTGGCCAGGATGATCTGGAATGGTGGAAATGCAGGCAGGGGGTGGAAGAGAGCCTCCTCAGAGACCTCCCCTGGCCTGGATTTCCTGATGGCAAATGTATTTGGGCCGTTAAATGAAGCCACATAATTATTTCAAAGCGGGTGGACACAGCCTTCTTGTCGGTTACTGGGTCTTGAATCTAGGCACTTGTGTTTTCAATGCCAGGGACAGAGTGGGAGGGGAAAGGAAGAGGGGCCGTGGAGACTGGATCCTGCTCCAGCCTCCTGCCTTTGTCCTTGGCCCGGGATTGTTCCTGGACAAAAGCCCAGGGGCCCCAGCGGGCCCTAATGGATGCTTATTGGCGTTGCTAGGCAACGCCCGCCCAGGGGCCTTTGGAGGGGTGTCCCCTGCAGGGCTCAGTGCCCAGAACCCCCAGGGCTGAGTCTGGGAAACCTTTGTTGAACCGTCAGAATCTGAATTTCCAGAAAAGCAGCCCCCAGCCCCCACAGCCATTCCTAAGCCCTCTGGGCCCTTGAAAGCCCTTTCTTTTGGTCAGTAGGGGGTTAATGTGTTTTGGAAGCAGGGGCCGCCCCTCCCCCCGCAGAGGCAGGGCCTGAAAGGAAGGTGCAGTTCCCAAAGGGCCATTAGTCAGCCCTCTGAGTGACACCCGAGTGTCACCCAGTGAGACAGGCGGCCCAGAGACAGCTCTGGCAGCGGCCTCTGGACGGCACGGGCCCGGAGCCCTGTGGTCCGGCGAGAACAAACCTTCCCCTGCTCCCGGACCCCGCTTTGGCCTCTCTAGTTGTTGATACTTGCAAATTACAAAACAAGTCCCTCTGCTGGCCCAGTGTGCTCCAGGGACAGTCCATACCACAGAGACCAGGAAGGTGGCTCTGTGTCCCACCAAAGGAAGACGTCCCCTTTGCCCTCTGAAAGTTCATGGAAAACCATTGGCAATGGGCAGATTCCTAGGAGAAAAGGCACACAAATGCATTCTGTCACAGTTTTACATGACACAGGAACCCTTGGAATGAAGACCCAAAGATACAGGAGAAATTGTCCATTTTCTTTTTCTTTCTTTCTTTTTTTTTTTTTTTTTTTTGAGATGGAGTTATGCTCTTGTTACCCAGGCTGGAGTGAAGTGGTGTGACCTCGACTCACTGAAACCTTCGCCTCCCGGGTTCAAGTGATTCTTATACCTCAGCCTTCCGAGTAGCTGGGATTACAGGCACGTGCCACCACGCCAGGCTACATTTTGTATTTTTTTTTTTTTTTTTGAAACAGAGTTTCGCTCTTGTTATCCAGGCTGGAGTGCAATGGCGCGATCTCGGCTCACCGCAACCTCTGCCTCCTGGGTTCAGGCAATTCTCCTGCCTCAGCCTCCTGAGTAGCTAGGATTATAGGCATGCACCACCATGCCCAGCTAATTTTTTGTATTTTTAGTAGAGAAGGGGTTTCACCATGTTGACCAGGATGGTCTTGATCTCTTGACCTCGTGATCCACCTGCCTCGGCCTCCCAAAGTGCTGGGATTACAGGCCTGAGCCACCGCGCCCGGCCCATTTTGTATTTTTTTAGTGGAAACGGGTTTCACCATGTTGGCCAGGCTGGTCTCAAACTCCTGACCTCAGGCGATCCCCAGTGCTGGGATTACAGGTGTGAGCCAACGAACCCGGCCGAAATTGTTCATTTTTATGCTCAGGTGCAACAAAGTATGGACAGCTGTGTAGAAATGTGATTGGACAAAAGGCTCTGAGCTCATGCTGATTGAGTGGAGAGAGCCCGCATCTTCTTGGCCTCTCTGCGCATGCATTCCTTCCTTCTGGGTATGGGACTGTCTCTGGAATAGGAGACTTATGACCTGCAAATGAGTCAGACAGGTCAGATCATCTCTTCCGTTTTTTTTTTTTTTTTTTTTTTTTTTTAGAGGCAGAATCTTGCTCTGTCATCCAGGGTGGAGCGCAGTGGCACCATTATGGCTCACTGCAGCCTCAAACTCCTGGGTGATCCTTCTGCCTCAGCATCCCAAGTGGCTGGGACTACAGGCACATGCAACTATTTTTAAATACTTTGTAGAGATGGGGTCTTGGCTATTTTTTAAATAGTTTGTAGAGATGGGGTCTTGCAATATTGCTTAGGTGGGTATGGAACTCCTGGGCTCAAGTGATCCCCTGCCTCAGCCTCCATGTCTGACCTAGATAATTTCTTTTTTGTTGTTATTGTTGTTTTTGTTTTGTTTTGTTTTTGTGTTTTTGTTTTTGAGACGGGATCTTGCTCTGTCGCCCAGGCTGGAATACAGTGGTGTGATCTCAGCTCACTGCAACTTCTGCCTCCCTGATTCAAGAGGATTCTGATACTTCAGCCTCCTGAATAGCTGGGACTACAGGCATGCACCACCATGCCTGGCTAATTTTTGTATTTTTAGTAGAGACAAGGTTTCGCCATGTTGGCCCAACTGGTCTCGAACTCCTGACCTCAAGTGATCCACCTGCCTCAGCCTCCCAAAGTGCTGGGATTACAGGCGTGAGCCACCATGCCTGGCCTCAGATAATTTCTTTATGGCAAGTTTTACACAGAAAGCTGGGGAGAGAGTTACAATAATATTTTTAGGTTCTGACCGGCTTTGGGGGCAATGTGTGCCGGTTTCTATGATCTGCGTTGGGAAAGAGAGAGTCTAGTTTCTATGGCGCCTCGGGGGAGAATAGAACTGAGACAGGAGGTCAGAGAAACACTTTTGCTTTGGAGGCGGCTTCTGAGGCCTTCATTTTGGAGCATGGTTTTCTGAGTCTCAACAGCAGCCCTGGGCGGGCTTGGCAGCACATGAGGGGCTCCCTTTGTGTGTAGATGGTTGGGGGCTACAGCTCCCATCAGATCAGGGCTGGAAGGGGCCTTGCAGTCTGCCTGGTCCAACCTTGTCATTTTACTAATGGGGAGACTGTGGCTGACCATGAACACCTGGTTATGGAGGAGGGGCACCATGCCCGACCTGGGCCCTGGACCCTCGCAGAGGTGGGCCTTAAGGTCAGCCAGCCAGATGAACCAGGGAGTTCCTTGAGGGGTTGGAGCAGAGGAGACCAGGGCTGCTTCTGGTGGCTCACTCCAGAAACAGGCCCAGAGGGGAATGGATGGCCCAGGGCTATGTGGCCAATTTAGGGCTGTGCCCATGGACTTCCCAGCAGGGATATCCCACCTGGGGACCCCCACTGCTGCAGGCCTACAGCCTCTGCCCTCACCTCTCCAGTGGGGCTGGTGCCCCTGGGTTCAGGGGTCAGGAGCCATTGACCACTCAGCAGCCTGCTGTCCTCATTCCCTAGCCCCATCACAGCTGGGTCTACCCCAGTCACACAAGTCACCCCTCAATTGTCTTCCCTTTGCACTTTCCAAGCCTCCTGTGCCTTGCCTCTCAGACCCCACCCCCATGCAGCTCACCCTGACTGCACCTGTCCCCAGGGATATGCTTTCCTCCAACCTGTTACCAAGCTGTCTCAGCCCCTCCTTGGGGAAACCCCCCTCCCTGACCCCAGCCCAGCTGAGCTCTCTGCTATCCTTTTTTTTTTTTTTTTTTTTTTGAGACGGAGTTGCACCCTGTTGCCTGGGCTGGAGTGCAATGGCACGATCTCAGCTCACTGCAACCTCTGCCTCCCAGTTTCAAGCAATTTTCCTGCCTCAGCCTCCTGAGTAGCTGGAATTACAGGCGCCTGCCACTACGCCTGGCTAATTTTTTGTATTTTTTAGTAGACACGAGGTTTCACTATTTTGGCCAGGGTGGTCTCGAACTCCTCACCTCGTGATCCACCTACCTCAGCTTCCCAAAGTGCTGGGATTACAGGCGTGAGCCACCACTTCTGGCTGCCTGCTGTCCTTTTACAAGGACAAGCCTTCGGGGACTGGGAATGATGGGTGGTGAGGCGGGGCTGGCTTCGAGGGTATTCCAGGCGCGGCTCTCACTGGTCGCTTTGTTCTGTCCAAAGGGGAGCTGTACTTCATGTCAACAGGGGAGCCGAGTGCCACAGCTCCACGCGGGGTCGTCTACAAGATAATTGACCCATCCAGGTGAGTCCCGGCCTCCAGGACAGGGAGCTCCTGCTGTCTGTCAGGGCTCCTAGCTACATTGGCCCGTCCCCTCCGCCTCGCCCTCAGGTGGGTGGTATTAATCCCCATTTTTCAGACAAGAACACTAAGGCCCCGAGAGAAATGTGATTTGCCTCGCTGGGACTCCCTTCCAGGGCTCCAATTCCCCGGTTTCCCTTCTAGCCGTAAGGCCAGAAGCTCCGTGGCAGCCACGTCCCAGCTCCTTCCGTGTGCAGCTCATTGACTTCTCAGCCGTTCATTTTACAGTGGTGGAAATGAGCACAAAGATATAAAGTCACGGCCCAGGGCCTAGAGCCAGGGTTGGGCCCAGGCCTTCGGCTCCAAAGCCCTGACCTAAGCCCTCGGCTGTGTGCCTTAGCCTCACCCTTTTCTAGCACCTTCCCCAACCCACTTTGCCCTCCATGACCCAGCCCAGCCCTTCCTCAGCTGTCATCACTCAGACTTGTAATCTCTGGGCTACACGACTGACCGTCTCCCAGCTGGTCTGGGAATCTCAGAGCCAAGCCTGTGTCTCTTCACTCTGCAGAAGCCACCCAGGCACTGGGAATGGCACAGAGCAGAGAGTCAGGAATGCTTGATGAATAAATGAGTGATCCGCTTTCTAAGCTGCTTCTCAGCCCTTGGATTTTCACTCCTCTGCTGGCTTCCACAGCAGCCTGAACGGCCCTGCAACACCCTGGTGCGGTCCAAGCTTAGTGCTTATCTCTAACACGAGCCCTGAGGTTGCACTCCAAGAATCCACACATTCAGCAGACCCTAGGAATCCTCAGTGTGTTTAGTTACCCTAAACGTTGAGCTATGCCAGGTTTGGGAAAATCCTGAAACAAGCTGGCAGTTTTCACGTTCTCAGGAGGGAGATGTGAGGAATTCAAGTCCAGCCTGGGCAACGTAGGGAGAGACCTTGTCTCTCAAAAAATTAATTAATTTTACAAAAAGAAAAATTCTAAAACACTTATTGTGCTTAAAATTTTTTATGCTGGGCTCAGTGGCTCATGCCTGTAATCTCAGCATTTTGGGAAGCCAAAGCAGGGGAGTTGCTTGAGCCCACGAGTTCAAGACCAACGTGATAAGCATAGCAAGATCACATCTCAACAAAGAATTTAAAAATCAGTCCAGTGTGCTGGCACACGTCTGTGGTCCTAGCTACTTGGGATGCTCAGGGGAGAGGACCACTGGAACCCAGGAGGTCAAGGCTGCAGTGAGCCATGATCGCACCACTGCCCTCCAGCCTGGGCAACAGAGCAAGACCCTATCTCAAAATAAAAGAAATTTTAGAATAGTTTTAGAGGTACAGATAAGCGGCAAAACGTATAGCGTTTCCCGTATGCCCCTTCCCCGTGTCCCTTATTATGAACACCTTACATTATTATGGTATAATTGTCAAAATTAATCAACTAATATTGCTCCATCACTATTCGTTAAACTCCACACTCTTTTACTTTTTTAATTTTTTTATTTTTTTTTATTTTTGAGATGGCAGTCTTGCTCTGTCACCCTGGGCTAGGAAAGCAGTGGTGGGAGCTCACTACAACCTCTGCCTCCTGGGCTCAAGTGATTCTCCAGCCTCAGCCTCCTGAGTAGCTGGGACTACAGGCGCCCACCACCATGCCTGGCTAATTTTTTATATTTTTAGTAGAGAAGGGGTTTTGCCATGTTGGCCAGGCTGGTCTTGAACTCTGGACCTCAAGTGATCGGTCTGCCTCAACCTCCCAAAGTGCTGGATGACAGGCGTAAGCTGTTGCACCCAGACCCCACGCCCTCTTTCAAAGGCTGTTTCTAGTTATTCCCCAGTGCCCTTTTCCTGTTCCAGGTTCCTATGTTACCTTTAGTTGCATCTCCTTAGCTTCCCTGTTTGTGATGGCTTCTCACTTTCCTTGTTTACCAGACTCGGGTTTTTTTGCTTGTTTTAAAAGCACGCATAAAGTATTGACATGACATCTTATCCAAGAAAATGTCATCGCTTCCTCCTTCCATCCCTTCCTCCTGATTTCCCTGAGGTCCCGTCTATCGTCATCTATGCAGCGCCAGGATTGATGTGATTGTATTTGGAGCACATGCAGACTTGGTATTTTTCCTCCATGTATGCCATCGTGTCTAAATGTTGCAAACATTACCTTCAAAAGAACTATTTCTAATGGTGGCGGGATTTTCTGCTGAGTCACTGTAATTGTCCTACCCATTCCATGGAATTTTAGGTTATTTCCAATTTTCAAAAAAAGAATGCTTCTCTGAGGAAATGTTACATACATCAAGCAAGTACCTCATTCACGCCAGATGTTGCCTGAGATCTGTCATCTTTGCATTTTTCAACGCTGTTTCCCTATTGGCTTGTTGTCCCCATGTCATAGAGAGAGGGACCCCAAGAAGACTTAGGGACTTCTCTTGTTCACCGTCTTGTGTAGGAGCCGGAAGTGGGCTAGTCCCTCCCTTCCGCCCTGACCCTTCTCTTCCCTTCCTTCTCCTATCTTGGAATAACTGTTTCTTTGCACCCACACATAGTACGCAGAGATCCCATTATAGAACATTTGGAAAATGAAGAAATGAGGAGTGACGGGGGTGGGATCGGGTCATCTATGACCACCCACACATAACCACAGTGGTGTTTTGGGTGGATATCCTATCCTTTTGCATAACAAAGACTTTCTAGTTTCCTTAAGGATCAAAAGCCCCACTGGGTCTGTCTGAAGTGGGTGGATGTTCTCTGGAGGTCAGAGCAACCAAAAAACCTCGCTCTTTCTTCAGCTTTGAGAAGCGTGTGTGCCTGGTTGTGTTTCTGCAGCCTCTGGGGACAGAGGCCCTTGTCCCTCTTTGGTGTCCCTCTTGGGCCAAGCCTGTCTGGAGGCCACTCCGTGTCAAGTGGCTACTTCACCCCTTTGCCTTTCCACTGGAATCCTGTTGAAGTCGTGGACCCACGTGGCTCTGTCCTGGAATGGGGTCGTTCCCAAAGAGTCACAGATTGACTGCCAAAAACTAATTAAAACGGAATTCCATTCCCTACTGTGCCCTCAAAACTATCAAAGGAGACCCAATTCCTGGTCCTGGCACCCCTCTCCCTTTTGTCTCCCTGCTCTCTCAAACCCCACATGCCAAGGCCCCAGGTCCCTCAGCTCTGCCTCCAGCTGCAAGGAGGCTTTCCTCACCCACGCCCCATCCTTTAGATGGTTCCCGGCAGAGGAATCTCTCAGATTGTACATTATCAGAAATCCAGGAACCAGAGGGTCAGAGAGAGACCCTTCTCAAAGGCTGTGGGGCTGGAGGGAGAGGGTGACAGGCAGGAATCAGGCTGCATTTACAGGAATTGGAGGCAGACTGTAGGAGGAGAGAGACTGGCATTTGATCACACCCTGGGGACAGGGTCCATGCTCTGGATTAGAAGTGTCTTGGGAAAGAGTAAGCCTCCAGCCCTGGTGCTATTCTGGCAGAGGCTGAGCATGCACCTGGTGGGCTGTTATGGGGGATTCATGCCCTGGAGCTCTTAGAATCCTGGGGGCATGGAATGGGCAGGGATGCCACAGGCCACACAGTAGGTACACTGTAAATGGCTGCCTGTTACCATCGCTGCTGGCCATACCAGCCTCGCTGCAGGGGAAAGGTAATGGCAGGGGAATATCCTCAGGGTGGACTCCCAGGGTAAGACTCATGACCTCCTGTGTGTCGTTGGCAGGCGGGCACCACCTGGCAAGTGTAAGATCCAGCCTGCTAAGGTGAAGACGAGAAGCGGCCTCATCCCCTTTTTTCCCAGAGAAAGTAAGTGCCTGCCAGTGGGGACACTGAGGGAGGGGGAGCTCCGAAAGCCCACATCGCTGCCCCCACAGCCGGATGTGGGACTTAGCTGGACCTAGATGCCCCTCTTCGGCCCCTGTGCTTAGCACTGTGCCTGGCACACAGACATGGTGGTAAGCTGGATGGGACTTGAACTAAATTGGGTCTTGCTTGATTGGTTACAGTTCCTTAAACCAAGAGAGAAATAGCTGGTGCGAGGCAAGGTATGCTCCGAGTTCTTGGGAAGGACGGAGTGTGTAAACAAGGGAGATTGGAAGAGTTATTTGTTGGGGGAGGCTGGCATGTGGGCTGGGCCCTCAAGGTGGTTCCATGTTGATGAGCCTGGTGAGGACGGACGGCCAAGCAGGTCCACAAATGACTGCCCATTGGGTCTGGGGTCTAGCTGGAAGGGTACGTCCCAGGCTGAGACTGGGACTTCTCCCCTCTGCACAAGTTAGGTGGGAACAAGGACCCCGTGTTGCCAGTCTTCCAGCTGTTCAGAGAAGCAGGAACACCCCCATCCACTCATTCACCAGGGACATGTGCCCTGCCCTGGGGATGTAGCACACAGCGAGGCCCTGCGGGCCTTGCCTTCTCAGCCTGTTAGATACAACCTCCCGATTCAAAGTGTTGGCAACCAGTTCAGAATTTTTAAAACCAGTCTGTGGGCCAAGGAAAGTATTTCAGCAGACCAGGTGGGCTCAGCAGGCCACCCATAGGCAGACTGGGTGTGTATGGGGGTGGAGGGCAAGAAGAGAGGAAGGCTAGGCACCTGGGCAGAAGAGGTACTGGGGTAGAGGGGAAGGGGCTGAGCTCAGTGTTTTTGGAAGTGAGTTCTGGCCACAGTGGTTTCAGGGCTTGGTAAGGTTTTCATTTACTCATTCAGCAGTGTCTGGCACTGTTGTTAGTTATGGCTCCATGCTGGATGCCGGGGCCACAGTGAGAAGTCAGACCAGGCCCTGTTCTGACTGGGACAGAGATGTCATGTACTGTCCCACGCTCTGTGATCGAATTGCGTGCCAGGTGCCGTGAGGACCCACAGTGGAGACTGGGGTGGAGGGTAGGCATTCCTGGAGTCTGAAAAGAAGAGGAAGGGTGCACCAAGGAGGGTTCACTTCAAGGGGTGGCACCGAGGGGGGTGGCACTGAGGCAGGGTGGCACTGAGGCAGGGTGGCATGGGGTGGCACTGAGGGTGTAGCTTCAGGGGGTGGCACTGAGGCAGGATGGCACAGGAGGTGGCACAGAGGGGGTGGCACTGAGGCAGGGTAGCATGGGGGTGGCACTGAGTGGGGATGGCACCAGGGGGGTGCACCTGGAAGGGGGTGCACTGAGGGGTATGGCACTGAGGAGGGTGGCACAGAAGGGGGTGCACAGAGTGGGGGATGCACCTGGGGAATCCATGGGGGCTGCACCTGGGGGAGTGCACAGAGCGAGTTGCACCTCTGGGGGCTGGCTTCAAGAGGGAGGTTTGCTGAGGGGGATTCCCCAAGGGGGCTTGGCAGTGCAGGAGGAGGGAACAGCGAGAGCCACAGTGGGAGAAGTGAGACAACCTGAGGAGCAAGAGGTGGGGCCAGGGGCCAGGGTGCAGGGGTGGAGAGCATCTTGCCCATGTCATGGGGTTCCTGGCCCTGGCCTGTGCTTGGCCTTGCACTCAGAGGCCCTTTCTCATCCCCCGTCTCAGTGCTTTCCAAAGTGGGACTGGCTGAGGTGTGGCCAGATTAAAGAGGTTTGGCCTGGTGGCTCCAGGATCCTCCCCATAGTAACTGAACAGTCTTGGGCTGTCACGCATGGCAGTGCCCAGTGCCTGGCACTGTGCCTGTGTGGGGTAGGGCTGGGCACAGCAAAGTGTGGATTGAGGTGTTTCCCTGTGGCTGACCTGGGCCAGGTGTGTCCCCACATTCTGCAGGGACAAAGAGAATCACCTGCCTCAGCTCCCCAGCCCCGACTGCACCCAGGTCCTGTGGTAGGTTACAGGGGCTCTGCCTTGTTCCCCAGCCACACAACCAGAGCACCCCCATTGTACCCACTGTGACAGGTGCCAACCTTCGAAGCTAGGAGGAAAGAGATTCACCCTAACCCCAGGGGTCCCTGTGTGGGTCCCGTTCCCAGCCTGCTGGCCACGCAGCAATTTTTACCCATCTGTGGGCCTCAGCTTCCTCACCCTCACAGCCAAGGCCTGGAAGCAGAAACGGTGACGGGCTCTTAGAAGCCTTCCCGGACACTCCTTCCTTTCCATTGCCTTCCTGAGTTTAGAGCCAGGGGCTGGCTCCAGCACCAACCTGGGGACTTCTGGGAAGACTGCGCTTGGGATGGGGAGATGCAGCAGCAGACTGGCATGAAGCAGCTGCCAGTGCGTGTTTGCTGCATGACTGAAAAAGCCCCTGGCCTCTGACTCCAGGCTGGCATCTTGCTGGGTCTGGGTGGCCTGGGAAGCACCACTGGGAGCGCAGAAGGCATCCTGTCTCCTCTGTGTGAGTGCAGGACAGACCCAGGACATTCTTCCCTGAGTCTGCCCTATCCGTACAGGTTGCAGGGTGGCACAGAGTGGGCAGCAGGGCTGGCAGGGGTGCCCGGGTCCCTCTGATGGCGTGCTCTTCCTCTGCGCAGAGTTCATCCCGAAGACACCGAGCACCCCGCGGCCTACAGTGCGGGCGCCCACCCAGGCGCCCCGCCGCAGGCGCCCCACGGCTACTGCGCCCGCGCCTACCCCGCGGCCTCCAAGGCCAGCACGGCCTACCCGGCAACCAGGGGGCCGGAGGCGCGGCGGGCGGCGGCGGGGGCGGCTGAACACCGCGAGCCAGGCGTTCCGGGATGGCGACGTGCGCCTGGTGAGGCGCCCGGGCCTGCGCTCAGGCAGCGGGCGCGTGGAGGTGTTCGTGGGCGGACGCTGGGGCACTGTGTGTGACGACTCCTGGGACATCAACGGCGCCGCCGTCGTGTGTCGCCAGCTGGGGTTTCCCTACGCCGTGCGCGCTGTCAAGAGAGCCGAGTTCGGCCAGGGTGGCTCGCTGCCCATTCTGCTGGACAATGTGCGCTGCAAGGGCTGGGAGCTCAACCTGCTGGAGTGCCAGCACAACGGTGTGGGCACGCACGACTGCGAGCACGAGGAGGACGCGGGTGTTGTGTGCAGCCACCAGAACCCTGACCTGTAGGCAGCACACCGCTGCCCCCAGGCCATCCCGCCCGCCGAGGAGCCTGGCAGGGGCCGCTCCCTGCTGCGTGCACCCGGCATGTGCCCACGCATTCCAGGGTGAAGGGGGTGGAGGTGCGTGCTGTCCTGGGACATGTGTGAGGCACTGCAGTGCGTGTGTGCCTTCTGCAGACCCAAGCAGGAGTGTGTGCTGGGGAGGGTGTGGGCTCTGGGTGTGCATCATCCATCACAGCCCGAGGAATTCCTTTCTTACCTCCAGGCATTCCAGACACCAGCTGTGGGACCCTCAGGACTGAGGGCAGCCAGGCTTCAAGGATGGACATGGCCCTTGGCTGTGCTAACTGAGGCACAGTTGTCAGACTGAGGGCCCGGGGAGAACCGGGCTTGTCCTGCCCACAGCTGGAGTGGAAGGTGCCAGAACAGCTGGAGGGTGGCCTGAGGAATGTGGTTCAGAGAGCATGGCCTGGTGGCCCCACAGTCAGAGGCACTGGAGAGAACCGGAGGCATCCAGTGGGGAAGGGAAAGCCTTCTGGCTGGGGGGTGCAGGGTGAGCTGCAGGCCTGGGGCCCCACTGGAGGGGTAGGCTGTGTGTCTGGAGCCAGCACCTGCTCAGGGAGGCTGGCTATGGGGACTGGATGATCTCCGAGGCCACGTGCTGGAGAAGCCTCTCAGCAGCACACCCAGCCCTTGTGGGTGCTCCTGGGATGGCACCAGCCTCCTCCAGTCCTGAGGCCTGACTCTCCTGCTCTTGGGGCAGAGCCCCCCACACTAGCTGGGCAGAGCTTTTGCCCTGGCCCTCCAGTGAGTGGGTGGGCCTCCTACCTTCAAAGCTGTGTTTGGGCACTGGAGCCACCTCTGTCCTTCTCATCCTCACCCCTGTTGAGTGTAAACCCAGGGGACCTTGTGATTCCTCTAGCCCCACCTCGGGGCTGACCAGGCTGGGGGGCCAATGAGACTACTGATGCTTTTCACCCAGGGCTATGCCAACAACGTGGCTGTTTCCACACTGCTCTCCGGCCTCCTCTCTGACCTGGGCCTGCGTGGGAGCTGGGGTGGGAACCAGGAGAAAGGGGTGGGCCTGCAGCTTCCCACCTGCATTACAAGTAGAAACTCCTTTGCTCCAGGGATGCTCGGCCCTGGCTCTGTGCCAGGCAACCAAGGAGTGCTAAGTGTGACTGCACTTAGCCTTGGATGGGAGCGTGGGTGGGGATGGGTAAGCAGATTAGTCACCAGGCAGTGAGGACAAATACCAATGGGTGGCCCATGTCGGGGGTTGGAAGAGGTCTGCACTGGGCACCCAAACCCAACCTACGTGTGGCGGCTCTGGGGACGGGGTGACCCTGTGCCAAGTTCTGGGAGCTGGCAGCAGGGGTGGCTGGGCAGTCACATGGGGTAGGCGTGAGTCTGGCAGGGTCTCCTAGCTGTTAGTAAGGATCCTGGGCTGCAGAAGAAAGCTTTAGGGTTACTGTCTTGGACTCCTCATACTCTGTGCTAGGTGGGGTTGTTGGGGCCCTGGGTGCCCGGGGCTTGTCTGGCCCTGTTGTGCCCCTCTTGGGAATCATGATCAGCCCTGAAGCCAGTGTGGTCTGTGCGCCAAGTGGTGCAGCGTGTGTCAATACTTTCAAGCCTCAGAGCAGCCTCCTTCTTCTCCCCGTTACAGAAGGGGAAACTGAGGCACACAGTGGCTAGATATCTTAGTTGAGAGCACCAAACCAGGGAAGGGAGAAGCCAAATTTGAATACAGCAGCTTAGTCTAGCGCCCCCGCACCCTAACTACTGCCCTCCCCAGCTCCACTATGCCTCAGAAAGGGGTATGCTGGGCCTCCTGCCTGGTGTGGGGGTGCCAGCCTGGCAGCTGATGGAGATACCTGGGGGCTGTTATTGCCCGGCAGGTGACCTTACTACTGGCCTCCTGCTCCTCTCGGGCCTCCAGTGGCACAGGGGTAATTGAGTGGATGTCTTTCCCAGGACACAGGGGAGTTCTCAACTCTGATGCAGGGAATGTTAGGAGCTAGCAGGGCCTCAGTGACCATCCCAGCCAAATTCCTTACTGTGCAGATGGGGAGGCTTGCTCAGGGAGGCTGAGTGTCCTGGGCCTCTTGCCAGATGAGGCCACACTGAGACTGGAGGCCAGGGAAGGTGCGGCAAGCCTTAAGGCCCTCAGGCAATGGCTGATCCAGGGCCCTGCTTGCCTGGTCCCAGCAGCTGTTTTAGTCAGACATGGATCAGGAGGGTTGGCAGAGGGCTCTCTGGGTGTGGCCTCAGGCCACCAATACTTCTCTGGAGAGTTCGGGCTTCAGCTCGTCAGTCCTCCAGGCCAGGTACTCTCCTTCCCCAGCCTCTAACCCATCACCTCTCAGGCCCCAAACTAGGCCTGGGCTAGGCTGCCCTGACTCCTGGGGCTGACTCCAAGGTCCCGAGGTTAGTGGTCCCCAACCTTTTTGGCATCAGGGACTGGTTTTGTGGAAGACAATTTTCCACAGACAGGGTTTGGGGTATGGTTTCAGGATGAAATGTCCTACCTCAGATCATCAGGCATGAGGTTTTCATAAGGAGTTCACAACCTAGATCCCTCACAGGCACAGTTCACAGTACGGTTCATGTTCCTATGAGGATCTAATGCCCCTGCTGATCTGACAGAGGCAGAACTCAGGCAGGAACGCTGGCTCCCCACACCACCCTCCCCAGCTGCCACTCACCTCCTGCTGCACGGCCTGGTTCCCAATCGGCCACCCATTGGTATTTGTCTGTGACCCAGGGTTTGGGAACCCCTGCCCTAGGTAGTAATAAGAGTGGGTAGCTGACCTCTGCTGACCCTACATGCCAAGCACTGGTCTGAAAGTTAAACATACCATTCACTCATGTAATCTTCATGTTAACACACATTTACTCAGGAGGAAGCCGAGTCCCAGGGCATTTGTCACTTACCAAATGTCACACAGCCAAAATTTGAATTTGAGCCCAGGCAGTCCAGCTCTGGGACCCTACTGTAGGCCTTCTTGCTGGACCACCTCAAGGGTATGGAAAGCCACCCCCACTCCACTGAGACACAAGTTCAGGGAGGGCAGAGCTGGTTCCCTGTCCAGTGCTCCTTTCACTCCATGTTGGAAACAGATGCTTGGTGCTGCAAAGAAAAATCAGCACTGAGGCAAAGGATCTCTCAGCAAAGCAATTTTTATTTGCTGCAGGAAGGGTACCCTTACTAGCCATCTTGCCACAAGAGTACAACAAACAAAGCAAAAGCAGACATATTTATCCCTTACACATTTGGGGCTTGTTCTTACGGCTATGTCTGATCTCTATTGGTTGGAGCCAGATCTCACAATCTAAACTAAAACCCGATTGGCTAATAACTTAAAACTTTTTTAAACAGGCAAAAGCAATGGAAAATGAAAAGGAAATCCAAATAAGGAACAGGCATAGGCTGCTAGCTGGGATGTGCCTGTGAGCACGTCCAGCACAGATATCTTGGTCAAAGTACAAGGATATAGAATATACTATCTGCATGGCATATCTAACAGTTACATAGGATAGGGCTTAACAAAGAGTTATTAGCAACAAATGAGGGATTTATTTTTTAACAAAAAAGGAAACTTTGAAGAGGAACTTTTCTACTTCCTACACTCTACCACCTACAGCTGGCCCCTGAGGGAGCATCCACAAGTGATTCTGTCCCCAGGGACTCCGATCTTGCCTTAAAGTCCTCCAGGGCCTCTGGCAAGGGGGGCTGGTCTGGGCACAGCCTTCACCCTCACCCCCTCTAATCCAGCCTGTAGTTAATAGCCAGGATCAGTTTCCCAGAGAGGGGCTGCCCTGCCCAGTGCCACACAGCTGAGTTCCAGAGTTTCAGGGTCAATGCTGCAGGGGTGACCCAGGGTCCAGGACTGTGTTCAAGGCATCAGCCAGAGGTCACAAAACCCCAGGCCCTAGACTGAGCCTAAGGGTCTCTGTGTTTATACCTTGGAAATGTTTGGGAGGTTCATGGAAGTGGAAACTGGGTTCCAGTCCTGGCTCTGTGCCTCTCTGAGTCTCATTGCAAAACAGAGGTCACCAGAAGGATTATTGGATGAAAAATGAGGTCACATTGCAGATGTGCCTGGCACATACACTTCAGGATGCTTCCTGGACAGAAAGCTCAATCCGAGGCTGGTGGCATCCATCTTGGCAGCTTCGAACTGTCCATGACAGAGTGAGGAGGGGCATGCCACGTGGAGGACCAGCATCAGAATGACATGGGAAGAAACCCTCATGATAGCAGGAAAAAGAGCTCCCTCAGCCTAACATGTAGAACCCAAGCCTTCTTGTGAGGGCATCTGTTCCCTCACCCTTCCTCCCCCGCTGAGAACTAGCTTTTACTGAACGCTTATTGCACTGCCAGCTACCTTGGGTGTGTTAGCTCATTTCATCTTGACGAGAGCTCCACGAGATACCCTCGATATCACTGTCCCTCTTTTCCAGACCAGGGGACAGATTCTAGGGTTTTATGTAAGCAGTCCTCAGGGCTTTCGAGGCAAGTTTGCACTAAGTCCCATTCTCCCAGAGCCTGATCCTCTCCCTACCTGGACTACTGCACCTCCACCCTGCCAGGCTACCCATGCAAAGGCAGCCAATTCAGAGCCACCTCTTATGCCTGCATATCCCCCAACAACTCCTGCTGGGAAACCACTCCCTGTATGGTGTCATCCACACCGGTGATTTTCAAGCCTGAGAAGAATCAAGTTCTACAGGGCAGCTTAAAACACAGGGTGTTAGATTCTGTCTCTCAGAGTTTTTTACTCTGTCTTGGTTGAGAATCTGCAGTTCTAGAAGCTCCTGGGTAATGCTAATGCTGCTGTTCTAGGGACCACAGTCATTGTCCATACTGGTGCTATCCAGTAGAAACGTAACGTGAGCCAAAGAGGTAACTTAAAATCTGCTATTAGCCATGTTAAAAAGTAAAATGAAACAGGTAAAATTAATTTTAATATTTTATGTAACCCAACATATTCAAAATATTATCATTTTAACAGGCAACCCACATATAAATATCAATGACTTTTTTTGGAGACAGGGTCTGGCTCTGTCACCCATGCTGGAGTGCAGT